CTTTTGTTTGATTGGGCAGTTCTTCTGTTGGTTTCACCTGGTTCACTGATGTGACAATAGCTTGCAGGTACCTCAGCTGAAGCAGGGTGCTCCAAGGGGACTCATTGCGACCTCAGCTCAGATGGCTGGTGGGCTGTGGTGGCTGGGCTACTTTCCTCATGGAGTCACCTCCGGGACTTCTTCAGGGCCTGGAGGTCTTCTGGTATGAAGAGAGCAGGATTGGAAGGCTATCTGGGGTTACATACCACGTTTTTTTTGGTGAAACATAAGGCAGGCGTTCAGTTCAAGTCCAGGGATAAGGAAACAGAACCTACCTTTTAATCACACATGTGGCGGTCAGTCCTACTATGGAGGGCAGTAGACAAGGGGAGGTGTGATCTATTGAGGACCAGTAGAGTGACAATTTATCACAACTGTGACAATACGTTTCCTAGTTTACAAGTATATTCACATCTTTTTTCTCATCTAATTATCAAGAGAACCCTGAGAGGTAGCATATTATTTTCTCCATTTTTAGAGTTAAAGAAACTCAAATTCTGAATAGGTATAAAATGGCAGAGCTAGGATTTAAAGTCAGACACTGTCAACCAAAAATCATGAAGAATAAGATATATACACACATCCCCTTTTTCCAAAGAATAGGCTCTGAATGCTAAAGCCTATTTAATATAAAAATGGGTGAAAAATGCTGAGTCATCTATTGTAAGTTATAACCTTGACTATTTAATTTTCAGTTTGCAAAGTAATATTGTAAAGTGACATCAAAACTAATTTTATTCTTAATGTTTTATACATCCTATGTCCATAGAAACATTTTAAATACAAGCTATTTTCTCTTTTATTTTAAATTACAGATCGAGTTTGAAATAAGTATAAAGGGAAAGAAACTGCCTGATATTCCAGATGTCAGAATTCAAAAATAAATTTATGAAACTTTTCTCTAAAATACTTCTCATGTCTTTTTCCCTCAAAATTGAGAAGACAGTATAATCAACTGTAATCTCACTTGAATTTCTTCCACTCTAGCTGCAAATCTCATTTTAAAGCAGAGATAACAAAAATGGCTGAGAGCAGTAATTGAGAAGCAGCTCAGCCATGGCAAAAAATTATATTGGACCTTAAGCTACTACACATTCTTGCTCCCCTAATTTAATACAATCTTTTTTTTACCTTCTATTAGAGACGGAACATTAAAAAAGATACGTACTATATAAAAATTGTCATTTTGTGTATATTTATACAAACATGAAGATATACAACCACACATACACTAAAACACATGGACTTTTAAACATAGAAAGTATAAGAATAATTTGAGTTTAATCACTCATCACATCACATAAAATTGCTGTTACAGTATATGCCATGTAACTTGTTTTTTCAGCTCCACAGAGGGTATTTGTTAGGAAAAGGTGTTAACATTTTGATTCCCTAGCTTAACAGTTTGTGTTATTTTTGTTGTCTTAGCAAATGATTAACAATAGTTATTGGTGCTCTTGCACCATAAGAACGAAAGAAATCCCTGCAAATCCACTTTGAAAAAACTGGAAAATATAAAAAAATTAGAGAGAAAAGTTAAAATTACCCACGGTCCTGCCATTAAAAAAAAATTATATATACATATATTTTGTTTTGTTTTGTTTGTTGGTTTCATTGGCTTGATTTTTTTTTCTGTTTATTTCCTATGCATTTTAGTGGTTTCAATTTGGGGGACACATCTATTACTACAGAACTTTATGAAAATTTACCCCATGTATACTTTGTGAAATTTCCCTATAATAAACTCTTCAAAAGATATTAAATTAATATCTTCATAAAATACTATCTAGTATCAGATTTTACTTCTTCATTTATATTGATGCAATAATGACTGTTTTAATTTTTTACTGTTATAATACTACAGTGAACATTTCTTTCACAAATTCATTTTTGTAACTCAAATGATCTCTTTATGACTGATTTCCAGAAGTGTATCATAGTTTATGAGTCTTTTTAAGGCTCTTGAAAATATTGCCAAATTATTTTCCAGGACAGTTGAATCTATTTTTACTCTCAAATTTAGCTTATGAAAGGGCCTATTTTACAAAACACTCACTAGCATTATTATAATGGTTTTAATAATGACATAATGGGAATTTAATAAGTAATCCAATATTCAAATTACTGCTTGCTAAATAGTTTAATAAATGTATGATATTATTTTTAATTAAATTATATAAAGATTATTTAATTGTAGGTTTTTAAAAACTAGTGAGTCTACACATTTTTCTATAGTTGATAAAGACTATTCCAATTTCAATTTTTGCAAAGTACTTGATTTATTGAAGTGTTACACATGGGACCACACATAAGGTGGTCTATTGATTTTATACCAGGCTCAGTGGTATCTGCAAGGTCATGGGTAGACTGGGCCATCCCATTCCAAGGAATCCTCTAGTCATGTTTACTTGTTAACTGTCATATTTAAATTGGTTCTAATCTGAGGGGGGTTGTCACTTTGTGAAGGGTGAAAAGCATAACTATTGTATTGTTTTGTACACCTGAAACTAATAATAAAAAATAAATAAAAATAAATTGGCTCTAATCAACGAAAATAGAAACTACCAGGAAAAAAGAGACAAGAATTAAACAAAAGGAAAAAAAATCTCGTTTTGTGGAGTTGAGAAGTCATTTTAGGAAACATAATGGTATATAACTGTGGAGGTTTTCAGAAATTGATTCTTTTCAGTACCCACCTATCAAGCTGAGTGAATTAAAGTGGAAATATCAGCTCGTTAAATTAAATCTAAATTCAAATACATGATCACAAGACTAATGGTATGACAAATAGGGGTCAACAAAGATTTTGAATATAGCACCATGAATTTGCAAAATGAAACAAATTTTATTTCTCTGGGTAAGGAAGGAGGAACTGGATAAAGTTGTCTACAGCATTTAACTCCTCATCCTTGTAGCCTCAGATTTCTGAGAATCCACAGATAAGAAATGCAGCATTTGTCTTTAGATCAGAAACACCTCCCAAGCACAAGCAACCTTAAGCCCGAATGGAGGATTCAAAAACAGAAATGTTATTTGAAACTCAGTTATAAAGATCCCAAAGGGAAAGTCATTAAAAAAAAATCAACAACAAAAATTGTCACCGAATCTTTTGTTTTCACAGTCCATTTGTTCTTCTCACCATATATCCCAATTTTCCTGTTTTCTGGAGATATTTGTTCCTGAGAGAAAGGAGGAAAGGAGAAGGTGAATGCACACTTTTTTATTTTTTTTCCACAAGGGGCTATAATATTATATATTCCCATCCTACAAATGATTACTTTTTGTTTAGCCTAGCATCATTACTTTGCATGTTGATTATCACTCCCTACTTCTTTCTTATTATTTCACAGGCTTCTTTTTATCTACGATGGAAGAAAATACGAAGTTAACAAAATATTTTTTTCAGTTTAATCACTACTTTGATGTTAGTTTGAAAGGGTATTTATGTTACTTTTTTTAGCTTGTGGTTTGTGGATGTGACTACATCAAATATATTTTATTCTCATAAAACTTGAGCATATTATGAGAAAATAGCCAGTGTGTGACTCTTCTCCTTTTTTACCTTCATATGTTACTGATTCACAGGGCAGCCTGGGCCATGGAGCAGTTACTGGTTTTGTCAGAGAAGGCATTATGATTCAGGATTTGTACCTAATTATCTCCTTTTTTGAAGCAAATCCATTTCTAGGAAGTATGACCATAATGTTTGCCTCCAGATGTGTGCGTCAGAATATCAGGTTGCCTCAGCTTGATTTATTTGTATGAAATGAGAGCATTCTCTTCTTTATTTAAGTGAATGACTCTTTGCAGTTTTGACTTTGGAAGTCATATCTCAGTTTGTTATGAGAGAATCAAAGTTTATGCAAAGTTTTTGTAGTTATCAACCAGTAATGATACTTTGTCTGATGACTAGCTACAGAATAGTCACACGTAATTATAACTGTGCCACTTTTTAGTTTTGATACAAATAGAATGCACAATGTCAAACTATTATAATGATTATTACAAAAACTTGGAAACTTATTTTCTGAGCAACTTATTTATTTCTGTTTATTCATTACCAATTGTTAGCTTTTGATTTTTTTTAACCTCAACAATTGGGACCTTAAGTCCACTTTGTTAGGAAAGGTAGGTAGCAAAATTGGGGCCGATCCAGGGCTGAACTAAAACATTTCCTTTTAAATAATGTAGTAGCAAGATAAGTGTGTGTTGGGGGGTAGGTGGAGACAAAAGAGTTGTTAATTACTTACAATATATCTCTGCTGCTAACCAGCTGTATGACTCTATATAAATTACCTTTTTGGGTTCTTCTGACCATATTTGTACAAAAAAAAGAATTGAGTTCATATTTTCAAAATTTCACACACTGTAACATTTCAGTATTCTACAATGCATCTTACTACAGTAGTCTATCAACAATTTCCCACAATCCTTTACTTTTGTGTAGTTCCTTTAGGGTATAACACAGTTATAAGCATTCAAAAATCTTACCTGCTTACTGATGCTGTAACTAAGGTTTTAATCTAATTGTTGTGGGAAAGAGCTAAATGAAAAGGGCCAGTTTTAGCTCCTTTTGGAAAGACAGATTGTCCCAAAGGTATGAGAGGTTTTTCCTGTACATTTTCAGTTACCTGAGCCCATTCATCTTGTAAAACCCTCCTTTCAAAAAAAAAAAACGAGAGAGGAAGAAAGAAACTACAAATCCCATGAATCAAAGCCGGGAACAGGCACATTCCCTCCTGCCCCTTTGCGCCCACCTTGAATGTCAGGTTGAGGCATCCTGAAATATGCCTGAAAGAAACCGCAGTTGTTTCCTCCAGGTCTTTAATCTGTGCACTCGCTGGGTTCCTTTAAATCGGTGCTGACAGCGAGGAAGGATATGGAGCTACGCAGAGCAGGGTAGGCGGGGGCGTGGGCATCACCTGCTCCGAAAGGGGCATGCGCACTGCGAGGAGGCGGGGCGCGGAGGGAGGGGCAGACGGCGCCGGCTGGCACAGCTCATATCTGCTTCTCCCCGGCTCGGGGTACTGAGTCGGCGTCGGGGAGTTGTCTTCTGCAAAGGTTGCCTGGCGTTGTACAACATGGAGGAGGCTGCGGGCATAACCTGCGATCTGGACTAAACCGTGCCTGACGTTCCGGGTAGCGGTGCCCGGTCCCGAGCCCAGGGACTCTGCCACCTGCACGCCTCGCGGCGGCCCCGGCTCCGGCTGCTGCTTGGGCCGCCGGCTTCCTGACAGGGACGCAGCGCACGGAGGAAGCGCGGCGGCCCCGAGTCTCCCCGAGCCATGGGCAATGAGGCGAGCTTGGAAGGGGAAGGGCTCCCCGAAGGGCTGGCGGCAGCGGCGGCAGCGGCCGCCGGAGGAGGGGCTGGCGGGGCGGGGAGCCCCTTGCGCTCGGTGATCCCGGCCGGCATGGAGGCGGACCTGAGCCAGCTGAGCGAAGAGGAGAGGAGACAGATCGCCGCTGTCATGTCAAGGGCGCAGGGGCTGCCCAAGGGAAGCGTCCCCCCGGCCGCTGCGGAGCCGCCTCCCATGCACAGGCACGCACAGCATGATGTATATGTCCGGGCATATATGTACAGCTCCCCGTGCACATATGTGCCAGCCTGTATGTGCTAGCACGGCAGTACATATATGTCGTCTCCGTTCATTTTATTCTCCCTAATGAAGTGGCGATAAAGAGATTATAAGCCTTCGGATGGCAGAAAAGAAATGATGCATTCTAGAGTTTCTGGTGGGATAGTCAAAGGTTGCATTCTTGGAACTGTGATTTTAGGTTGTGATTTTTGGCCGTTTGGTACCCTTTCCCTCTAGGGTGGCGTGGAGAGACGCCCTCCAGTGTTTTACTAATCTGGAAGTCTTCCATTAATACAAAACGGACGTGTTGGGAAATGGATAGAGCTGGGTGTTTACCTGTCTCTGTGTAAACCTCCTCAGTCATTCTGGGGTCTTTTTCTCTGTAAATGATGTCCAAATATTTCTATAACAATATCATGAATTCCCCTAGAGGTGTTTTGTCCTTTTAACCCTACCCCCAGAGGAAATCGGGAGCTGTTTAGGAAGAAGGTATAGAATTAATACACCTTTTATATTTAATGTGGGGCCCTAAAATATGTTGTGGCATTAAACAGATGGTTTGGTCACAGCAGAGCAGGTGCTGTACATGTATTTCTGAATTAGCATATGCTATTTTTTAAGTCACTACCCTTTTATATACAAAGTGTCATAGTTTTTGGAAGAACGTGAATTTGTGTTATCTTAAAATTAATTTGTAATTCATAAAGACAAAGCAAATAAATGACAATTTGCATGGGCAATTAAGAGCTAATCTGTAATATTAACATTAATTTCCTTCTCTAGCTCTCTATTTTTCTTCATGTAATAAATTAGTTGTTTCTAATTAGAGTACGAAGAGGGTATAATCATTGTGTCTGCCCTGCCTTTATTATTGTAAACAAGCCCTTTAACTTTGCACCCTCCCACAGAGGATAGTTCTCTATCCATGGTACTGAAACCGTTTCTGCTTTATGATAACTGAAGGGAAGCCTACAATTTTCATTTGAGGTATTGAAAATGTAAAACTGCTGGTATATAGGTGTAGATTCTTATACTCCATAAAATGAGAAAAAATATTTTAACTTAGGAACTATCACATAAGTTATATGCATATCATTTTATCAAATAATTATAATATTAAATTTCATATAGGAGAAATGTAAAAATGTTTTATGGATAGTGACATTATTTTTCACATAAAATCCAAAATGTCTAAAATCTATCAGGTAGAAGCCCTATTTTGTTGAAATGCAATCACCCTTACTAAACTAGCTCCTTTGTATTGAATATGTTTTTCAGTGTTTTGGGCTATTGGTAAGAAAGTCCTAAAGTAGTACAGCTTATGGTATATACTGTTTATGGTATGTACCATTTTTCTCTACTAATGAAAATGTGACTTGGAAAGTATTTTGATTGTTCATTCACTAAATTTTCATGGAATAATAATGAAGTACAATACTTTTATGTATGCCAGCTCTTCTATAATATTTCCTACAAGGCACAAGCAACAGGTTTTATACGCTGGTTACAAATGCCGAGAAAAGTGTGAGCTTTGATTTCTAAATTCCTAACTTTTCATCTTTCAGACAGTGGATGAAAAATGTTATTTCATCCTATGAAACTATGATGTTTTATGCAGTATTTGTATCAGATAGCATACTTTTAAAGCTCCCTATTTATAATTTTGTTATGGTAGAATTCTTACCAATAGGCAATCTGTAGCCTAAACAGTTATTGGTAAAAGCTTCATTCAAATATATAACAATATGTTTCTGTTCTGCAACCTGCTTGTATTTTACTGAAAGATTTCATTAAGAGGCACATAATTTTTGAAAGTTATTATCTTATGTGATAACCAAAGAAACACTTGGTTCATCATTTAGATATTTAGAAACACATTGAGTTAAGTATATATAAGAAAGCATATCCAAATAATTTGAAACTTTAAGTGATTAAGCACTGTGAGTTAGACATGGTGAGTTTTTTTTTTTTAAGAAATAAAGGTTGAGAGCCCAAGGACCTAGATTCTTATTCTATTAATTTTAACTGACTTATGGTAAATTATATATGCTTCTCAGCCATATGTGCCTCAGTTTCCTTGTCTCTGAATAAGACAAAGGATACTTGTCTTACCTATCTTGTAAAATCATTGTGAGGATCAATTAAAAATTGTTTGGAATTGAACGTGAAGAAACCCTATACACATAAAGAGTAGTAATATCAATATTAGCAGTGAATAGCACTGGCAATAATGGCTGCAGACAAGTTGTATGTTGAATTATTCATTATAATGAGTTAACTGATGTATCAATATTCTTTTACATATGGAGAAGTCAGTGCAGTGTAGTGGAAATCCCCCGGTCTAACCCCAGTAGTCAGCACACAATAATTCTGTGACAAATTTTATAACCTTGAATTAATCTCTCAGCCTCTTAAAGTCCTAGTATCCTCTACAATATAAAAATGGATGCCTAAAGTTGCTTATATTCCTAACATAAAATTTTATGTGACTCGGCACTGTCAAGTTAAGTGTCATTGCCTCTTACGTTCTTTTAACAAAATATTTTAGCATTCCAACTGTTTTTACATTCTTACACGTGAATACTTGTTTGCCTCATTTGTAGCTAAACCGTTTTCTCTGCTAATCTATGTTAATCTAGGGATGACATTAGTGAAATGAAAAGGGAGGAGGATATGTAAGGCATAGGTAGTTAGTTACGAGTTAGAAGCTACAGGTTATAAATGAAATGCTCCTGGATTTTTATTCATTGTAGACCCAGGGAAATGCAATTTTATTACTTCTACTCATTCTGTTTACAACTACAGGTATGCCATGTGAAAAAGGCTTTACTAAAAAACACTTCTGATTAGTAGAATATTTTATAAGAATTCTGACTGAATCGATTATTTTCTTAAGCATTACTTTGGGCCTCCCCTCCTGGCTAGACACCTCCACAACTGTTTTTCTTCTGACAGCAGTAGGCCATGTGTAGGTTCTAAAATGAATATGGAATGTTTCCATTTAGATCTCAGAAGGCTTGTAGAAGAATTTGAAGTGTAAAGACTTCACGAAACATTAATCTAGAATAAAACAAAACTTGACATGTTCATTCTTTTATTCACTCATTGTTATTCACTCATCAAACATAAATGTTCATCTACTAGTTACCAGGTTTGGTTCTAGTGATAACAAAGATGAGTGAAATACGTTCTCTGTCTAGGAGTTCATAGTCTAAGTACAGAAGACACAGATTGCATTTTAGTTAGTTTTTCTTTTTAACAGAACTGTTATACCAAACAAAAATTCACCAAAAGACCACAGTTTGCTAAGACATCTTTATATTTTTGTTTGGTATTAAGACTCTATTTTCTCTTAATGATTATATTTCAGTTTCTTGCTTCCAAAGCTCTGCATTTTCTGGTTATTTACATAATTACAGCAAATAAAACCAAGTTTAAATTGTAGGGCAATCTTTAGATGTATAGAGGTATTTTCTCCCTGGGGGATTCTATAATATAATTTATATTTGTAGGACACCCAAACTATTATTTCTGATATAAGCGCTTTGCTTTAAATTTTGCTTTATATTGTTATCATAAGTTTTGGAATTCATGAAGTTTACTTTTATTTGTTTTGTACATATGTTGTATTAAGTGAAATAATATTGCAAAACCAATGATTAAGTTTAATAGTATTTTCACAAGAGGACGATTTAGTTAAATGTATGTTTTGGTACTTGGTTTAAATATAGATTTCTAGAGCTCTGTATCAGGGAGCCAATTCAATAAAATGCCTAAATAAGTACTTGCAGGATAGTCATTTCTATAATGGAGACCCTAATTGTGTGTCCTTCAAGGGAGTAGTCAAATTTATTAATTGAATGTAGAACATTTCTAGAATAACGTAAAGATCCAAACAGTGGAACTTTTTGAAAATAATCTGTTGTAGGTTTGCTATGGCTCTACTGCCTTCATATAGAGAAACATTCACAGTTATTGTTTCCAAATGGAAATATGTAGCGGTGCATTTTAAAAGATATCTTAGAACTGTTCGATTTAATAACAGTAATGATTTTAATTCCTTGTTTAAGTAAAGGCTTTACAGACATAATAATAGCTAAAGTTTTTGTAACTTTTTTTCCTGGAGGAAATTGCCAGAACTAAGAATTCTATTAATCATCTTTTATAGAAAATTACTTTGCATATATATTTCCATGTGTAGATTAGTTTCTTTCTGACTTTTGCTAGTTAGAAATAATACTTTTATGTTTCTTTCTACTACTTCGTATATCTTGATCCATACTCAAATTTCTGTGTCAGTAGGGGAATTTCAAAAACTTAATTGATATTAACTACCAAATGATCTGGAATTTAAAATTACGTCTGGTCCATTAGCAGGTAAATTTTGACAAAATAAATTAAAACCTGTACAACTTTTTTGTGATCGTCTCATATAAGTGCTACTTAATCACTTGTTTTTTACTCCTTTTATTCTTTTAATTAAAAAGAAATAAACCTTTTCCAAAATTAAAAAGCTACATATATCAAACAAAATACTTATAATTTGATTTTTTTCTATACTTCTAAAGTGGCATGTTGTTATTACTTCCAACTTTATAAGTAGAGAATGGCTTATTTAAAAAAAATAATGTACTTGATTTTTGGCTAAAAGTATATATAAGAGACAACAATTTTAATTATTTAACATAGTCATTTAAATTTGATTTTGTTTCCAAAACTTTAAAAAAATCCATATTGTATATTTGTCTATGACTTAAAAGAAATCTTGCAAATCAATTACTTGTTACATTTTAAAATCAGTGTTAATAAATAATACTAATAATCTGACAATGGCATTAGTAAATATTGTAGAAAACATTAAGCAAAAATATTATGTATTTTCTTCATCTAAGGAAAGTAACAATACTTTTCAGAAGTGGGGTTACAACTGGCTTGTTGCTATTTGTATGCTAAACTATATCTCAGAATGCTTTAAGCATCTGTTGTTACCTTACAAAGAGACCTGAGATTAAGAATTAGCTATTGGAAAAAATAATGAAATGGAACTGTTTCTCAAAATGTCTAGTCAAAGTAATAATTCTCACTCTATAAAGTTTATAAGGATAATATTTGATGAATATTACCTTTTTAGACCAAATAGGATAAAATTAAATATATGATCAACTTTCTTAGAGTCTGTGGAAAGGCCTCTTGTAACCTCCTTACTAGAAGCTTCCCTGATGTCACATTGTGTGCTTTATGTAGCTAATGTAAATTCTCATAATCAAGTAAAAAGAAAACAAAACAACAACAAAAAAACAGTTGCAGCAAACTCCCACATTTTAAGATGAATATTTTTACTTATTCGTGCTGCTAGTATTTGAGAGACTAACATTCTTTGACCATAACTTTTGATCAAGGATATATACCCTGTGAGCATGAATGTACTAGGACATAGCGTTGCATTAATTTATTGAGTTAGTATTTAATTAGATTTTATATTCTAAAATATAAATGTAAATTATTTTTATGAAAACTTTGTAAATCAGTATGTTAATTTTTTTATCACTCATAGTAGTAAGTATTGTTTTGTTCCCCCCCCCCCCTTTTCTTCACATTCTTGTTGAAAAATCTCTATCTTGGGACTATACAGAAAGTAACAAAGACATTAAAAGTTTTATGATCACTTACAGGATGCAGCAAAAATGGATTCTAGTTATATTTACACATTCAAAATTTTGAGGATAGAAGAAAGTTATAGTTTTTTAATATTATTCTGAGTTGGGATCATTTTCATAATTTCACTTCTTTTTGTTTCACTCTTCTAGGAAACAAGAGTTGGATAGTAGTCACCCTCCAAAGCAACCGGGAAAACCGCCGGACCCTGGGCGCCCAGCTCAGCCTGGTCTCAGTAAAAGTAGAACTACAGACACTTTGAAGTCAGAGCAGAAATTGCCTGGAAGGAGTCCTTCCACTATTAGCTTGAAAGAATCTAAATCCAGAACTGATTTTAAGGAAGAGCACAAGTCTAGTATGATGCCTGGCTTCCTCTCAGAGGTTAACCCCTTAAGTGCTGTCTCCTCTGTTGTAAATAAATTCAACCCTTTTGATTTGATATCAGATTCTGATGTATCCCAGGAAGAAACCGCCAAGAAACAAAAAGTAGCTCAGAAGGAACAAGGAAAACCTGAAGGAATCGCAAAACCTCCATCACAACAGCAGTCACCCAAGGCAGTTCCTAAGCAGCAAGGACCTGTGAGGGCACCACCTCAGCAAGACCATGCTCCCAAATCACTATCTTCTCAGCAACCAGAAAAGATTAAATCTCAACCTCCAGGGACAGGAAAGCCAACTCAGGGGCCTACCCAGACCCCTCAGACAGACCAGGCGAAATTGCCACTTCAAAGAGATGCAACCAGGCCTCAGACTAAACAGTCAGACACAGTAAGGGGAGAATCAATCAAACCCTCACTGCAAAGCCCATCCAAACCACCGATTCAGCAAGTAAGTCCTGGAAAGCCTCCAGCCCAGCAGCCTGGACCTGAAAAACTTTCCACAGCACAGCCTGGACCTGCAAAGCCCTCAGCTCAGCAGCTGGGACCAGTGAAGGCCCCAGCTCAACAGCCAGGGACAGCAAAATTAGCTCAACAGCAGACAGCAAAGCCCCCAGCCCAGCTACCAGGTACGACAAAGCCCGCAGCTCAGCAGCCTGGGGTTAAGTCCCCAGCCCAGCCCCAGCCTCAGCAGACTGCGTCAGAGAAATCTCCATCTCAGCAGCCTGGGCCAAAGTCTTTAGCTCAGCCTCCAGGGCCAGCAAAGACCCCAGCCCAGCAGCCAGGGACCCCCAAATCCCTAGCTCACCAACCTGGGCCACATCCCACAGCTCAGCCACCTGGGCCTGCAAAAACTCTAGCACAGCAGGCTGGGCTGGTGAAGTCGGGGGCTCAGCAGCCTGGGCCAGGAAAGCCTCATCAACAGCCTGGCCCAGCAAAGCCCCCTCCTCAGCAGCCTGGCCCAGCAAAGCCCTCTTCTCAACAGCCTGGCCCAGCAAAGCCCTCTTCTCAGCAGCCTGGCCCAGCAAAGCCCTCAGCTCAGCAATCTACAAAGCCAGGAAGCCAAACAGGAACTGGGAAGCCTGTGCAGCCACCGACTTCTCCATCTGCAGTGCAGACTCCAGCACAAGGCCCCCCTAAGACCATCTGTCCTCTTTGCAATGTCACTGAACTTCTGCTGCATGCTCCAGAAAAGGCCAATTTTAACACATGCACTGGGTGTCACACCACTGTCTGCAGCCTCTGTGGTTTTAATCCCAATCCTCATTTAACCGAGGTGAGTGCATTTATGCATTATGTCCGTGCTCTTAACCATATCATCATCTTCTACCAGTGGTGCTTAGTTTATGTCTGATAGGATGGTGTTGTTTTTCTCTGCTTCTTTCCTGCTGCCCCCCTCTTTTTCTTCTCTGCTAGTTGTAAATTAGATTTTTTTTAAAAACATTTTCTTCCATAATAAGCCCAAAATATTGCCACAGTTTCTGAGAAATTTGGTATATAAAGCAAATATGAATTGATTGAAAGCTGCTGAGCATTTACTCATTGCATTCTATGTGTAAGGTCCAAACTATTTATTATTTAATATACTGTGATATTGCTTTAACTTTTAAATTCATGCTCCTACCTATCAAAATTATGAAACTATTAACTGGGGTCATATTTGTGCTGGGAAAAACATGGACAATGTTTTCAAACTCTAAATACAATTTTAATATAAAGTTCAATATACATGCCAATGATTTTGATATCCCCAGTGAGGGCATACTTCCCTCATTAGTTGAGAGTCATTAAAATTAGCATAAGTCAGTTCGTAAAATAAAGAGGTCATTAGAGCAGGTCAACATTGATGGATGTCTTCCCAGAAGGACCACAGTTTATATCTCCAAGTCTTTGGGTTAGCCTTCCTGACATACCAAGTTATAAAATAGGGGCCAGTAGTGACACAAATGAATTCAAGGTTGTTTATTCTGACTGAGGATAGAAATGTAATTCTCAGCAAGTCAAAGGCCTGAATAAAACAGCATTTCCATAGGTAAAGATTTGGTGATGTTTGGGATAGGGGGAAGGGACAAAAATCACAAAACAACAGAAAAACTCAGAAATTCTCTGGAGTTAAGAAGTAAATACGGTGAAGATAACCTAAAAATATAAAGTGAGAATAAAGAGGCTTAGGGTCTAAAAGAATATATTTTTAAAAGAAACCTGGTAGCCCCTACCCAGTGAGAAGGCACAGAAACTATTTTATACATATATATTATTATTATTATATATTAATATTATATATTAATTATATATATTACATATTAATATATATTATTAGTTTCAGGTGTACAAAACAAATCAATAGTTATCCTTTTCACCCCCCACAAAGTGACAACGCCTCTCCCCCCATCCACTGCCCTCCCACCCCCGATATCATGCTTATCTATTGCAATTCCATTGACTCCATTCCCACACTTTACTCCACATCCGTGACTATATATGTATTAAATTATAGTTGACATTCAATATTATTCAACGGCAGCTTCACATGTACAGTGCAGTGGTCAGGCCTCTACACCGTCTATGAAGTGGTCTCCCTGACAAGACATGAGTCCATCTGGCCCCCTAAAAAATATTTACATTATTGATTATATTCTCCAAACTGTCTTTCCTATCCCTGAGGCAATATTATAGTTACCAATTTATGTTTTCTCGTTTCTTCCCCTTCTCCTTCATCCCCACCCCCTCCCATCTAGCAATCGTCAGTTTTTCCTCTGTGTCTCTGCAGCTATTTCTGTTTACATTACTTGTTTATTCAGTTCTTTAGATTCCACATATAAGTGAGATCATACGGTATTTGTCTTTCTCCAACTGACTTATTTCACTTAGCATAATGCTCTCTAGGTCCATCCATATCATTGCAAATGATACAATTTCCTTCTAAGGCACAGAAACTATTCAGTCCATATGGAAGGCAGCTGTTACTGGGCTGTGTGTATATTGTGTCTGGAAAAGCCCAGGGAAAAACTGACAGCGGGCCATGGAGGATTATGTGATTTAAATATCCCTGAAAGAAGAGACTTGTATACCCTTGTTGTTATAAAGGAAATCTATGTTATGATAATAACAATGAGGATTATTGGTAGCAGTTATATTAGTTTGGATACTTAAAATGATGAAAGATGAAAATGATGTACATTTAAAATGTATCAACCTCTTGGTATTTTCTAAAGCATCTTTTGCTCTTTTATCCAAATGTCATATTGAGTATGTTAACTTTTTAAATAAGTTATTCTTTAATGATAAAATTGTAACTTAATAAGAACATGCTGCATTCAAGTTATGGAGAAAATCAGATTGTAAATCAGGAGGTAGTTTGTTTATGTATTTGTAGCTTTTTAAATTATAGTAGATATGTTTCTGCCCATAATATACTATCTTGACAGGAATGTGCAGTAATAATGACTTCAAACAGTCGATGATCATTTTGTAAAATGTTACTATGTTTTCATGGCAATTCACAATGTAGACACTTACAGTTGGACATTCAAGCCCTATGTATTATTCGAGGACCTACTATATGGAAGACATTTTACTGCATGTTCGGTAGGGTATAAAAATAACTAAAACATAATGCCGATCTTAACATGAATGTAGTGTACTAGGTTAGATAATACATGCACCAGGAAATCCAATATGTGGTCAGATGATGATGGTCATGAGAGATACGAACAAATATTGGGGACTTTAGAGTAGGAAGTGTCATTTTCAGTGGGTGAGATTAAGGAAAGCTTCATGGAGAAAATGGTATTTGAGCTAGGTATATAAGGATGGATACTATTTCAACAGATGAAGGATATAAAAAGGGAGTAATGATTTGGTTCAAGACCTAGAGGCAGAATACTGCGGGGAATATTTAGGAAAGCAGGGATAAATCTAGGTTTGCTAACGTTGTGGGGAAGAAGAAATGGGCAATCAGATTAGAGAGAAGTTGAAGTCAGCTTTTGGCCTTCCACGTTTGTCTGGTAGTGATGAGCATTCTGCTTTATGAAACTTACTTTGACTAATATATTTATGCCTTCAATCCTTCATTCATTTTTAGAAATTTGTATCAAATTCCTGGTCGTGAAACACCAATGAGTCCTGTGACAGAATCAATTATTCATTAGTCTTCCTTGAAGCAGAAAATAGGGGAAATAAAAGTTGTATATAAGAAAGAAAGAAAGAAAAGAAAATGTGTGTGTGTGTGTGTGTGTGTGTGTGTGTGTGTGTGTGTGTGTGTGTGTAAGTAACTTTGTATAGGGCTTTATAGTTCACATAGTTCTTTCCTATTTCTTTTATCAAAATTAAATTTCCAAATAATTCTATGGATATATATTCTGTTTTCTCTGTTATACTAATGAGAAAACTGGTGTTCAAGTGGTTACTGTGGTTAGTTTACTTGTTGGGATTGCCCTGATGGTAAATAGCCAAGCAGAACCCAAACCAAATCTTCTGATTCCAACGCTATTCATTCATGGCAGAAAGAGAGAGAAAGTGCTATGAAGTCAAAGGAAGAAACCGTCACTGTCAGCGGCGGGTATCATGACTAGCTTCATGAAAACAGAAGTATTTGAGCTGGGCCTGTGAAGAGTCACAAGAATTTGGACACAAATAAAAGGAGTTGTGATTCTGGGGCAGGTAGATGGCCTCATTTACTCAATAAAGGAAAGTATCCCCATATGGATGAGATGAGCTTGGGCGAGTCATTTACACTTTCTGTAACGATGACACACTTGAAAAACAATAATAGCATGTTCTCTGCCAAACACGTTGGGTGCTTAGGAGGATTAACTGAACATTTGTATGAGGAGATCTTTTTAAATATATGAAGTACTTTTAAAGTTGTGATATAATGCAACATGGATATTCTATTTCAAAAATATTTAACATTTAAAGTTTACCCTCAAATTGTTTTCCTCATAGGTATAATATCAAAAATTGTTGGGTTCCGAGGTTGCAATCAAAAGCCATTTGATCTATAGTGTTAATAGTAACATTTCATTTTAATTTTCTCTTTTTCCACTCACAAGGAAAAATGCAATCCGAGTTCTAATTCTGAACTCTAGGAAGGCATCTTCCCTAATCCTATACCAAATGGCCAGTTTTCAAACTCCTGAATTATCAGGAAGTCAGAGATGGGAAGTTTGGACCGTAGATAGAGGCTGAGAGCTTCTGTTTCAAGAGATAAGATAAATTACATTTTGGGAAAGATCACCACTTCTAAACTGTTATATATATCCATAAGAAAGTGAACTTCTCTGCATCTTCCAAAGAGGATCATATGTTCTACGTCAGATTGTCCTCAGATATCAGATTGAGTAAACACTTTCTCCATGCAGCAAAGGGACAGAGGCTAAACCTTTTTTAGTACTTTAATTTATATCAATTTGTTATTTTCAAGTTTGATGTTTCTATGCAGTAAATCTCTATATTATTACTTTTATAGTCTATAGGTAAAATAGAATACTGGTCTCTAGTATCACTCCTTGAAAGGACTAGGAGAATTTCTCTGATATTTTTGGTTACCAACACATAAGAATTATGACTATATTTGCTTATGAATATCCTGGCACTTAAATGGCTGCCAGGTCTGGGGAGGAAGGACTGGAGAGGTAGCAGCACTCAGACAAGAGTGTTAGGGAAGGGGACTTTTACTCCCTTAAATAAATCTGCCAGATCTCCCCAACCCCTGCCAGACACACACACACACACACACACACACACACACACACACACACACACTCACACACACTCACACACACACACACACCCGCTTAGACAACCCAAATATCTATGTGAACAGGATGGTTTGTTTGTTTGTTTTTAATTGGGAAACAGTGTGTTTTTCCAGGACCTATCAGCTCCAAGTCAAGTAGTTCTTTTAATCTAGTTCTGGAGAGCGCAGCTCAGTGGCCCATGCAAGGATCGAACTGGCAACCTTGGTGTTATGAGCACTGAACTTTAACCAACTGAGCTAACCGGCCGCCCCAACAAGATGTTATTTAAATTAATTGTCCCTTCTGGTCGCTGTCAAGATGTGTGCTTTTCGAAATAAACCTTAAGAATCCACTGGCTCCAAGCCTAGCCTTTTGATGTTGAGAGTTTATAGCTGTATCTCTTCTTGCCAGTCCATTAGTGAAATAAATCTCAACAATACAGGGCTCTCTTTGGCCTTGCTTTCTGACATAGAAACAGAATATTTGCTTTCTAATTAGTAACAAAAGCATTTTGTTGTTGATGTATTTCTTTTGA